AGGACAAAACGGATCTACTCAAACATCATAAGATAGTCATACATCATTGGGGAATAATATATAGCGTTGAGCACCATGTTTAAGTAGAGATTACAGCGGGTAAGAGAGAGGTTACACCGCTGCATAGAGGGAGGAAGAGTTGGTGATGAAGGCGGTGAAGTTGTTGGTGAAGATCACGGTGATGATGATGGCCCCCGGCAGCGCTCCGGCGCCACCGGAAGCAAGGGGGAGAGGGCCCCCATTCTTCTTCTTCTTCCTTGACCTCCTCCCTAGATGGGAGAAGGGTTTCCCCTCTGGTCCTTGGCTCCCATGGCTTGGGAGGGGCGAGAGCCCCTCTGAGATTGGATCTATCTCTCTGTTTCTGCGTTCTCAGATTCTACCCCTTCACCGTTTCTTAAATATCCGGAGATCCGTAACTCCGATTGGGGTGAATCTTTCGCCCAGATATTTCTCATAAAATTAGCTTTCATGCGCCAAAAGAAGAGCGTCAACCGCCTTATGGGTGGCCCACGAGAGCCTAGGCCGCGCCCAGGGGGGAGGGCGCGCCCCCCTGTCTCGTTGCCACCCCGGACACTGTTTCGCGTTGATTTTACTTCCCAAAAATCATAAATATTCCAAAAAAAATCTTCGTCCATTTTTATCCCGTTTGGACTCCGTTTGATATTGGGTTTCTGCGAAACAAAAAACATGCAGCAGACAGGAACTGGCACTGGGCACTGGGATCAATATGTTAGTCCCAAAAAATAGTATAAAGAGTTGCTAAAAGTATATAAAAGTTGAATAATATTGGCATGGAACAATCAAAAATTATAGATACGACGGAGACGTGTCACCTCTTTACTCATATACCCATGCATATGTAGTGCAGATCCTTGCTTGCGAGTACTTTGGATGAGTACTCACGGTTGCTTTGCTCCCTCCTTTTCCCCTTTTCCTTTCTTCCTGGTTGTCGCAACCAGATGCTGGAGCCCAGGAGCCAGACGCCACCGTCGACGACGACTCCTACTACACTGGAGGCTACTACTACGTGCAGGCCGCTGATGATGACCAGGAGTAGTTTAGGAGGATCCCAGGCAGGAGGCCTGCGCCTCTTTCGATCTGTATCCTAGTTTGTGCTAGCCATTTTATGGCAACATGTTTACTTATGTTTGTACTCAGATATTGTTGCTTCTGCTGACTCGTCTATGATCGAGCACTTGTATTCGAGCCCTCGAGGCCCCTGACTTGTATTATGATGCTTGTATGACTTATTTATGTTTTAGAGTTGTGTGATGATATCTTCCCGTGAGTCCCTGATCTTGATCATACACGTTTGCATGCATGATTAGTGTATGATTAAATCGGGGGTGTCACAGTCGTCTCCGAAGATCCTGGCACCCTAGAGGAGGATGGTGCGACTAGTGTGTCCGAGGGCAAGATGTAGAGGCATCCATTCTTAGGTGCCGGACCAAACAAGTATGAATCATGTTAGAGTTGTGTCGAATATAGTATACAAGATAGGTTACAGTTGGACTTGTAGTTGTACTGTGTTTAGATAGAATATGAAGTCGTGTCCAAGCAGGACACTTGTATTCTAACAAGTGGTATCATGAGCTAGGTTCTTCGGAGAGGTTACTGGTTGTTGATCAAGAGGAAAGCTTGATCTTAGATCGGTATCGTGAAGGCAATACGTGTTGGCACGGTTGAGATCGATCGGAAGAAGTCAAGCGAACAACAATGTCGACTTGTGGTCGTAATCGGATCGGATGGATCGATCCGCTTGAGCGGCGGCGGCGTAACACCTGCAGAAGCGCGACGCTTGGACGCGGTCTTGAAGGAGCGCGTGGTTGGCCAAGCCCTGTGCGAGGCCCATGTGGCGTGCTCGGGCCGGGCAGGGCGAAGGCAGCGTGCGCGGGACATGAAGGTTGTGCTCGAACATACAACTCGCATCGTATAGCAAGGAAGGCATCATGGCAGATTTGTTTTGAGAAAAAAAAGGGACCCAGTCCCGGAGGAGACGCGATCCCCGCGTATTAGGCGTGAAGCACCAAAATGCAGTTTTTTCTACATGGCATCGGGAAGGCAAAGGCTTGGGCATGCAAAGCATTTGAAGTTGTGCAAGGGAGCTACTCTACGTGAAGACGAGAAGCTATCTTGTTGGATTTGCAACTAGTATACTTGGTGTACTTGGGGATCACGCAAAGAGTGCTTGGTATTTTTTCACATGTCAGCTGTACAAAGAACCATGGAGCCAACGGGAACTAGGTTTGAGGTAGAAAAGTTTGACAGAACTGAAAACCTTGGGTTATGCAGACAAGGTTGAAAATTTGTTGGCACAACAGGGATGCTTGAAGGCGTTGCGGGATGTCAAGCCAGAGGGACGATGAGGACTGTGAGGAGTTGCAGATGGTTGCAGTGGGGGAAGTTCGGCTGGGTCAGACTTGTCAGTCTGACGGATTGACACAAGTCGGTTGGTACAAAAAACGGTGGTGAGATCGGCGACGACGATATAGGTGCGTGGTGCTGATGGTGACCGACTTCTGGGCGTGGAAACACGTAGTGCAGTCCTGAGGGCTTGTGTGGCTTCAACAAGACTATGGCGCGGGGTTGATTCAAGGTGATGTACACATGGAGCATGAAGTCGACGGGGCGCAAGGGTGGACTGATCATCTACCATGGAGTCATGTTGAAGGTGAAGCTGGATTGAGGGGCTACGTGTAAGGATCCAGGGAATAGAAGCCTATTCAGCAAGGGGGAAAAGCGAGTGACATGCAGTTCGGACTGGAGCCCAGTGGTCTGATGGAAGCGTGAAACTCGTCATCGGTCGGTGATGATCGGTGGTACTCTGCAGTGGGGGTTGAGTGGTGTGGGTTCGCGACCCTTGAGACTCGATCGGGACAACGGAGGCTCGACGCGGTAATAGCGGTGAGGCGTGCGGCACGCACGGGGCATGGAGACGGGCCAGGGCTCTGGTGGTCATATATGTGGTGAGACAACTGCGAATTTGACTCGGGTGACTACAAACAATGGTGAAATTCCTTCAAGTTTCAGACAGGCGGTCAAGAAAGGAGCGATGATGTTGAGTTCAGGTAACTCTTATGTGTGACACCCGATATGTGAGTTGTTCACTTTCACACAGGTCAGTGATCAGTGTATGATGGCGTTGGACGGATACTTTGGAAGTTGGGAGCACAACTGTAACAAGCAACTTAATTTTGCTCAAGTGTTGACTGTGGTTAAGAAAAGAAGGGACTACAAGTTGCAGGTGGAGACATATGGAGTCTTTGGAGTAGCAGCGGTGCTCATGGGATAAGCTCAAGTCCAATGTACGTGGAAGTTTGACGCATGGACGAATTCAAGGTGGTGGAGAATATTCGTCAAGGTAGAGTTTGTTAGAGTTGTGTCGAATATAGTGTACAAGTTAGGTTACAGTTGGACTTGTAGTTGTACTTTTATTTAGATAGGATATGGAGTTGTGTCCAAGTAGGACACTTGTATCCTAGGCCTCTCATATATAGCGAGGGTAGACACACGATGTAACCTATGCCAATATAATAGCACCGGAACGCATGGGAAGTCGGCGGCATGTGTCGGTGTCCAGGGCGACCGGGTGTGGTATTGTAGCGGTGTCATGGGGAAAAGCGCCCATAGTCATGCCCCGGGGATGTAGCCATATCAGTGAACCTCGTTAACAAATCTCGGTGTCGTGTTCGTGTGATTGTTTGGTCTTCGGATGATCGGCGGTGGCCTCGAATTGAATATAACAAATCCAAAGGTCGAACGTGCCCCTATCTCCATGTGCAATGGGAATTAGTGATGGTGCATCAGCAAGAAGAGGAAAACTGCTTCTAAAAGGAACTTGAAGTCCTAGACCTAGAATGCGGGTACCGTGCGAATGCGTGATGACAAGGCGTGTCGAACATTTGTCTTGAATGGGCATATGGCTTTCTCAACATTGTGAACCGGGTGGGAAATATGACATTTGCAAGGCTAGTATGTGAAGGGAATTGATGGTTTGTTCCGAGAGATGGGCATTTTGATTGACAATGTAGAAGATGAATGTCGCAAAGCCATCTCCCTGTGTCCTTTTATGTTACTCCCTCCATTCTAAAATAACCGAAATTCTAGGTTTATCACAAGTCAAATTTGCTTACGTTTGACCAACTCTAAAAAACTGGATATAAAAATATATTTCATGAAGAATCTCGCAAGACCAATTTGGTGTTATAGTTGTTATTGTAATTTTCTATATATTTGATCAAACTTAAACAAATTTGACGTAGAATAAACCCAGAAGTTCAATTATTTCGAAATGGAGGTAGTATTTTTTTTCCCGATGTTGATGTGCTTGACCTTGATGCATATGGGTAATTTCCTGTTCAGTAAATTTATGGCTCTCTGCAATCTGCATCCCAATGTGCAGACTGGGGGAGAGGGTAGTCTCTTCCAAAAAGAAAAAAAAAGCCCTTTTCAGGAATAATCTATTCATTCAAGCATCCATCAACATAAAATGGCCGACCACACCTGCAGGCTGCAGCTTGGCTTTGTATAAGAAGAAAAATGTGCTGGTTCAAATGAAGTGGAAGAACAAAAATGGGCAAGTGCTTATGGTAAATCGCCAGGTGCTTGTCATCCTAAGATCCCCGCCAAACCCAACGGAAATCCCACCTCCACGCGGCGGTCAGGTCAATCCCCTCCCTGACGCGAATCGACAAACGGAAGCGTTGAAGAAGGCGGGGCGAAAGCGCCGCTCACGCGTCACGGAAATCCCACCCGCAAAAAAACGGTTCCGTTTCCTACCAACAAAGTCTCCTCCCCCTTCCTTCCCCTTCCCCTTGGCGGTAGCACACGCATCCGCCGCGTGAGCCCCCTTTCCAATCTACCTCACCAACGCGGAGAGGAAGCATCTTCTATAATACTCCCTTCTAAAGCAGCCCCGCCGCCTCCCGACGGAGCCGATCCGATTCGACCCCGTTGGAATCTAGCCGGGGCGTTGCGTGGTGCTGCCGCGCGCGGGGAAGATGCACAGGAGCAAGGGGAAGCTGTCGGGCGTCCTCAGCAAGGGCTTCAAGCCCGACAAGTGGTCAGTCCAGATCGTCTCTGCTCGCCGGTTCCTGCTTCTTCCTTCTCCGCTGGTTTCTGCGGGGTGCGAGATTGAACGCTTGCTTTTGCTTTTGTTTTTGTTTTTCTGGCGTCTCAGCAAGATTGCCCTCAAGATGGCCATGGCGCGGATCAAGCTGCTGCGGAACAAGAAGGAGGTGCAGGTGCGCCAGATGCGCCGCGAGGTCGCGCAGCTGCTCGACGGCAACCAGGACCAGACCGCGCGCATCAGGGTACGCCTCGATTCCCCCCACCCTCCACCATGCTCATGTCATCCTAGTACTACTAGCACAGTTCGTCCAATTGATGATGTAATTGTGTGGACGAACGGAGTACTCGATTACGGGAATAAAGTCCACTCTAGACGTTTCTACTCGAACATTGGTGAAGTGGCTATAATCTGGAGAGCATAGAAATAATATGGCCACTGCAGTTTCGTTTAGGTGATTGGTCTTCCACACCACATGCCTTTCTTGGGTTCATTAGCCCAATAGTTGGTCCATTGTGTTGATCTATCTTCCCTGTTACATTATGTTATTGCCAATTTCTGTGCTCAACTGTGTCTGATCGCTTGACACGCGAAATTCTGTGGTTTTGTATGGCATTTTCTTCTACTACTGACCTATGTCATCCACCCCCACAGGTTGAACATGTCATAAGGGAAGAGAAGTTCATGCAAGCATATGACTTGATTGAAGTGTACTGCGAACTTATAGTGGCACGCATGTCCATTATTGATTCACAGAAGTAAGCCAAGTTTATATTTCTTGTCTGTAAACTAGTACTTACTCGTCCATGTCTTTATCTGATGTCTGAAATTGTTTTCTTATCATTAAGAGAAGCAGACACACAGTTTATAGTTTGAGGACAATCACTTGCATCTCATTTTTGGGCTATTTCCGTAGTTGATAGGGTAGGAGTTATCTTTTATCCATTATCAGCGAACTAGGGTATGGTTTCTTGGGTAATGAGTTACCTTTTATCTTTTTCCTTAACGGCACATCATGATTTAGCTGGACTCTTCTGAGCTTATAAAAACCGCTGCATATTATTCATGTAGAGTCCTTTCCAGGGTAACCTGAAAACTAAGGGTGTTTGAATGACCCCAGTTTACCCTAACAAATATTGGCCATGACCCACGATTTTTGGTGCCAGAAAAATAATGGACTAAACACGGGTGAGCCAAAATTTGGCTCGGTGATGCTGACCAGGTAGTCATACAGATAGGAAGAATGATTCATCAACAAAACTTTGTTCCAATTCTCACTAAATTTCTATTGAACACCCCTGTGCAAGTGTGCATGTGTGTAAGCGTGAGCACCAGGATTTAGACCCTGGTGGGTGAAACTGTACCCCCATAACTGCACCAACCCAACAAGAGGCAGTTCTCGCTGACCATGACTTTGTTGAAGGTTGGAATAAAAGCTTGCCAAATCCCTGGGCCATGCCAAATAATGGCACCAATCCAAATGATGACCAAAATTTAGGGTATCGCTGAATTTTGGTGGTTCGCTGGGGCTTGCCCGGTGCACTGGTGCAGCCAATCTGGATAAAGAGTGACATGCTCCTTTCTTTTTTCATTGCAAGCCCATATGTTGAATTGTTATTCAGTTCAGAAGGTACTGCAAGTCTTGAATAATCGAAATATTGACAATCTGTTTCTCAGGCCAAGTGCCACCACTGACATGAAAGATCAGTCCCTTCAGGAAAGTTGCACTTGCATGGAGCTTCTTTATCAGCAATTTACAGCATAATTCTGTTATAGTTATTGAGGACTTGTGCGCTTTTCTGGTTAACTTAAAAACATTAACAAATATCACAGGAATATGAATCATCAAGTCCAAAACAAATTGAAACTATTGTTGATTGAATAGACATTTATGTTGGTCCTATTTTCTGCTGTGCTCTCATTGCACATATCTATTTCTGCCCTGAATATTCTGTACTTACAGTTACATGTTTGTTTGCCTGAAATCTAGGACTTGCCCTATTGATCTGAAGGAGGCAATAGCGAGTGTTATATTTGCATCAATGAGATGTTCAGATGTCACAGAACTAGCAGATGTTCGGAAGAATTTCACAAGCAAGTATGGGAAAGAATTTGCCACATCAGCTCTTGAAGTGCGACCTGACAGTGGCGTAAACCATCTGGTATTTTTCTGCTTTTCAGTTTTTGAATTGGACGAAGGTTTTGCAGCTGTACACATTTTAAAACAATTATTACTGTGCATACAGGTAATCGAGAAGCTCTCAGCAGGAGCACCGGATGTACAGACTAAAACCAAAACCTTGAGCTCAATTGCGGCAGAGCATAACATAAAATGGGAGCCAAAAGCATTTGAGGAGCAGAAGCAAAATGAAGATCGGATGGTAAATTGACAGACCTGAATTATTTTTTAGGTTGAGTATTTTGGCTCTAACCTGATCTATTGTCTGTCATGTAGTATGGATCAACATATTCTGGAGGAAACATTCCAACTTCAGGGTCATCTGCTTCTAGCGTGCCAACTCCTCAACCTGCAGCAGCTCCCTATTCATCTGTTCAACCAGCCACTTCTCGTGTGCCTGCAGGACCTTCTTATGAATCTTCTGAAGCTCCAGCTAATAGAAACCCACATGGCACTGCCAACTCTAATGCTTCCACACAGGAAAATAGAAGGGGTTCGGATGCTTCAGTGCCTCCTAGCTTCCAACATGGTGCAACTACTTATTCCTCAGCAAATATTCCTGGATCTAACAACTACTCTAATACTGGGAGTTCAAGTGTTTCTAGACCTCACTCCCAATTTGGCTCAACAGTTCCAGGTACGATTGTAGGTTGTACTTCTTTTTAATATCATCACTTTTGAATGCTTTGGTATTCTTCCTACTTACTAGTTTATTTTATCTTTGCAGACTCAGTATCCAGGACTGAAGAGATCAACCGGCCTAGGGAAAGGAAGTCTTCAGTTAGTGGTTCCAATTGGAATGTGGAATTCAAGGATGCAGCATCTGCAGCCCAGGCAGCAGCAGATTCTGCAGAGATGGCAAGCATTGCTGCCCGAGCTGCTGCCCAACTTGCTAGCCGTGGAAACTTCTATGCAGACCAAGATACTGGTGCTTATGAATCAACTGCTTATATGAATGACAATACACCCAGGAAGCAACAAGCTGGACGTTTGATGAAGGATGGTAAGAGTTTTAATGAGCAGAGTTCAGGTATTAATGATCCAAGGATGATCTCAAGTAATGCAAGAAAAGATGAAGAAAGAGCAGAAACAAACCGTGCGAGTAGCCAGAATATGTCAACTCCTTACTCCTCTCAGCTCCACTCGTATGCTCCTGAAAGCCATACTGATCATGACATGCCAACTGAACCACATCATGCTCATTCATCTGAGCCTCCATATTTTAATGATTCGTCTGAGCCTCCATATTTTGATGATTCATCCGAGAAAGAAAGCAATATCAGAAGACCTGAGGATCACCCGTTTGATTTGCATGAGGAAAGGTTGCCAGATGCTGGATTTGATTGGCACCACACCAAGGATATAGGAAGCAGGCAAACTAGCTTTGATCAAGAGAGCAGGAATAACCACTATAGTAATTTTAGTGCTTCCCACGGTGGCAGCAGTACGTCTTGGGACAACCAGAATGATAAAGCTGGAGCTGATTCTTCAGCTGTTTTATTCGATGAATATGACCATGATGTTCAAGAAGAGAACTTGTTGGATCATTTCTCTTCAAAACATACTGAAGAGCTGCCAACTGTGCAGGACCACAAGGGATTCTCAAGTGCAGATTGGAGTCAGCAGCCTAGAAGTGAATCTCCGGTTGATCGTAGCACTTCAACTCTCTTTTCAAGAACAGAAACGCAGCCATCTTATGATTTAGGAGCAAACAAAGAGGATATTCTCCTGAATGATACTAGCCCACCTACTTTTGATTCAGATGGTGTTAGTTCTGACGAGGAAACAAGTACAAACATGCATATCTTAAGGACCCATTCAAGAGGATCTGATTACTCGGAGAACAAAATGTTCAATAAGAATTCTGGAAAGTCTTTTCCTGATGTTATTGAAGATCATGAATCTAGGCCCAGCAAGCAATACCAGAATCCACCAGGTTCTGATGTATTCCGCAAGGAGCAAAACAGTGATGGTTCACCTAGATATGACTATTCGGGGGCACAGGGGAACTTGGGTCGTCTGCAAAGCAGAGATTATGATCTTTCAGAAGAAGAAACAGAACCACATAAATTGAAAGGTACATCCTCAGGGATAACAGGAGCAAATGAGAATCGGCCCTCGCCCTTCCGCATGCCAACTTCAGCAACATCTGATGACAGCGATGACGGTGATCTTGGCCTGAATTATGGAAGGTTAACTCCTGGACTAAGAAACAAACTCAGGCAAGGTCCACAATACAAAATTTCTGGGGATAACTTGGTGCGAAAACAGTCCTTAGAAGGAGCTCCTGCCAGCATTGAAGAATCAGTGCATTTCAAAGAGAATGACCCATCATCTGAACAGATGGGTGATACTCCTAAAGGTTCACGCACAACCAAGAATTCTTTTGGTGCAAATTACCACAGTGAACATCTCGATGGGAGACATACTGTTGGCAAACCTGTGGAATCAAGATCATCCATGACGAGGAATGACTTCTATTCAGGTGATACAGGGAAGTTATCTGAACGATCTGGCAGTCCAATTTCTAGCCCAGCCAAGACTTCTGTTAGGGAAAATTCCATTCAAGAGAGTGGGGTGCGCAGGGAAAGTAGATCAAGAACTGCCAGAACTTTCTTTGATTCAGATGAGAGCGAAGAAGAATTGGAACGACGCCGGTCTGTCCAGACAAAGTTGTCTAAAGAGCAGATACAATCACGGAGGACCCGGGAGGTAGCACCCGATGCAAAGAGAGATGGCCGAGCCCGGGCTGGAGCGCAGTATGCTGTTGAAACTGAAAGCACGCCAAAAAGCCCTGCTAAAGCATTCTCCAACTCGAGTACTGAACAAAGAAAAGCAGCACCTGCATACTCCAGGGTTTCAGTACAGCAATCTTCGCCAAATCCTGCGCGCATTGAACCTCCCGCAGCTAGAGGCAGGTGGCAAGAAGATGAACCGGATGGAAGTTCTTCTCCAGAAAACGAGGGAAACGCAGAGACCTCAGCAGAGACCCTGAAAGTAAGCACGCCAACAGCTGGTCCTGCTCACGTTCACCCCAAGCTTCCAACAGACTATGATTCTTTTGCTGCACATTTTAAGTCGCTCCGAACCAATCGCCGGTAGGGATAGACATACATGTATACGGTTTGAGAAACTTCTGTTGAGATGTGTACAGTATAGAAACACACTGGTTGGAGAGACTTATTGTGCCCTGGTATTTTTGTTGTAAGGACACCAATTCTTTCATTCTCTTTTGGCCTCAGATATACAGCGTCTTTGATAGGTTATGTTTTCCTTATAGTGTTGTAATAATCACATTATGCGCACATATGTACAGAACTTGGGGTTTCATTCAAATTTGTTTGTACTTCATTGTGACTCAAGCTCAGACCTTGTTTGTGTGGAGAGGAATTATTGGCCTGCAGTTTATTAGTTTTCCTTGAGAGCAGTGCTCCTTTCACTTCAAATTTGTCTTCAATTACTTCGGACAAACTTCAGAATTGCTACCCGTTGACCCCGCGTGAAGATTTGCTTGGTAGTAGTGGTACAATTGCATGTCACTCTAATCACTAGAACATGATGTGCGGTTACCGGGCATGTTCATTTTGACAAAAGGATAATGTAAATAATAATAAAAATGTTAATGTCCTAGAAAATTTAATTTACAATGTCTTAATTTGTAGCATGGATTATGATTTGTTTACAATACAAGAGGCAATCCGAGGGATGGCAATGGATACCTATTACCCACGTACCCGGCGGGTGAAACCCTATTAGGGTAAGGGTATGGGTTAAAGTGGGTACGGGTATGGTTTAGTATAACCCATACCCGTGTACCCATGTATCCGCATATAATCTACAAATAGGCTTTATATTTTTTTTTGAGGAGGCTTTATGTATTACTTAAAAAATCGCATCCCTAAAAAGACCTAATCATGCTAGTCCGCCGAACCACACTAGTTGTCCCACAAAGCCATATGAGCCTAGGACCGGAAAGAGCCAAAATCATTCACGTAATCACCGTTGTCTCAACAAGCGTAATAACTGTTTGTCCAGAATCTTATACGTGATACCTGTCTTTATATGGCTATATCTGCGTGATTGGCGTGCGTCGCTGGTGGCAGGCTCGTAGTCATAGCAGCCAGCCGATCGATCTCATCTTCCCGCCGCCGCCTGCCACTGCCAGCGCCTCCGGACTCCATTCCAGCTACTTGCCGCCTCGCGCCATCACCACTTTCCTGCCCTCCGGAGGTGGACGCCAACGCCATGGACCCAGGGGCAATCACCATAGCTCGCGCGTCGGTGGGGACCATGGATTGGAGATGCAGCTCAGCGACCTCCACGACCAGGAGCACGGCACGCCTACAGCCCAAGCCCAGCACTGTCGCAGGCGCATCACCGTCACAGCGCTATGTCCGAGACGTCCATGAAGCGTCGTCCTAGCCTGCTTATCAATGGTTGATCTGCCGCCGCCATCAAGTACAAGAAGAGCAAGGCTATGTGAGTTCCGACTATTTTTATGAGCACTGCTCTTACACTGTGAATACATTTTCTGTGCATAGATGATGTGCTGTATTCATGTATATGAGCATTGATTTTTGCGTAGACATGATGTATATAGATGATGTGGGATTACGATTTTGTGTGTGTACATAATGATAATTAAGTATGACATATTTTATTTCAATGACAATTTATATTTGTATGTACGTTTTGTGATGTATTCATGTAAGTTAGTACACATTACCCTTGATTTCTGCATAGAGATGCAAGATGTGTGTATATGACATGATAAATATTAATTTTTGTGTGTGACTATTGAGTATTTTTGCAAAAATATGTTTACAAATAAGTGTGTTCATGAGAATGTGTTGTTGTTTATGAGTATGCGTTGTTGTCATGATGTGTTGTTGTTTATAAATCATTATTAGTTGTTGTTTATGACTATGCAAGGCTTAAATTGATGTGTTGCAAATCTGGTAATTTTACCCGCAGGTACCCATTTACCCTGACGGGTGACGGGTATGGGAAAAAATTGTACCCATCGACGGGTATGGGTACGGGTGATGGGTAAGGTTTTGGGCGACGGGTAAGGGTATGGGGTGGCTCCTCCCATACCCAAACCCGGGGGGTGCCATCCCTAAATCCGATCAACATGTATCTTGTGTAAGACAGTTTGGAGGAGATTTTGCAAATCTTTTACAGATCCATGAGATAGAATGCAGATGAAGGAAAACCTCAAAAAGGTGATGGCGCGACAATTCAGCACATTAACAACAATACGCATAAAAATCTTTTGAGTAAAATCTACTTTGTACTTCCAACGATCACGTTTGTGACAGTAAGTACCCATTAAAAAAATTATCCCACATGCACTCTTCTTATCAAACTTGTTTTTAACCATTGTCTTATAAAAAATATTGTCATAATGTAACACATTTAGCAAATTGTCTCCCAATGGACACAAAGGGCCCACCCATCGGGCTGACGAGGCATGCCACACGGACATGTAATGGTGGTATACACTATTGTGTCGATTTAGCTTTGGTTCAGCTGAATCAAGCGCCTCGCTCGATCGGTCCTTCTAGCACTTGCGGAAAGGGCAAGCTGAGCACGACTTTGGAGGCGAATATTGGATCTTTTTTTGGGGTAAAGGGTGAATTTACTCAAAGGTTTGGGCACTACTTCGGTAGGAGAGGTATTAGGCGGAGGTAAGAATTTTTTAAATTTACATTTCAGCGCAATTATGTTGTAGCTAGAGTTTTGGAGCAGATGTACCACGGGTAACTATGAGCATCCTCGTATAAACATCTAAATTCATGTAATGACCAATTGTGGCAGTTTTAGTAGCATCGTATGATTTGTTGGCTGACCTAAATGTGAGTTGTTTCGTACTATTGAATCACGTGTTTGAAGAAACACAACTCTTTAATTGGTATTTTTTTACAAAACAAACTCAAATTTAAATTTGTCATTTAGATAAATCTTCCAAAAAACCCCCTTAAATCTACACCTCCCTTCCCCCTTCAAATTGATTCACTCAAATAGGCTATGATCTACAAATGCCCTTTTAAAAATCTTTTAAAAGGTAATCTCTAATTTACAAACCCATCAACATTAGTGATTCACTAATTGTGTTCGGCGGGGCTCAAGTTCCAAGACTAGGGCTCGTCATAAAAATGCTAATGCTGACCCCGAACTAAAATAATCATTGTTATCAATTTTGTGCCTTAGCTGAAGATATTAGTTGCACGATCAAACTTCGGATTTATTTCAATTGTAAAATACCGAATTGCTATAAATAAATTTCCAAAATAAAACTTATAAGTGATAGACCAATTAACAATAGCAATGCACTTCTAGATTGATAGCAGCGTTCAATGGGATTCAAGTTCTAAGATCAGGGTTCCCCATACTAATCATTGTTATTAACTTTGCTCCTTGTCTTTATTTTTTGCAAGCGATTTGTCGCCTTAATTGAAGGAACAAGTTGCTCGATCAGGCCTATAGTTTCTTTCTACTATCAAATATGATACTGCTACATGCAATTTCAACTCAGAAATCCAAGAACTTGTAAGGTAAAGTGGGCAATGGGAGAACCAACATTGATTTGATCGTTAGGAGTGTAGTTGTAACCTGAAACTTCTAGGGATCAAACTCAATGTTTCGTATCGTAT